ATGAACCAAGACTCCAGGTAGGTCCATGATTAACCGACCTAAGGAACCATGAAAGAGGTGGATTGTGTTGAATAGTGTATAAAATGTTAACATCTCACATCAAGAAAGTATGGGAAGAGTTTATAAAGATTTATTTTTTTATCAATAAATAGATAAAGATACATCTCTATAAATAATGACTTTTTAAGTAGCATAAATTCTTATGTAAAGTTAGAGTTTTATATTCAATTCTCAGAGAGTTTTGAGTTCTTTTGTATTTTAAAAGATTTTAAATCTTTTAAAGGATTTTAAATCTTTTAAAATAGTGAGATCACAACTTAGGATTATCCTTTTTGTTCTTCTGCTATCTCTTATTTTCTAATAAATTGTATTGATAACACTCCACAAACCAATCCACGACCCCTGCATGCTAATTTCAACTAACCATGGTTAAGTGAAATGGGTTTTAAATATTTTAAATATATTTAGTATTATTTTTGTTTATTTTTAATAAATTTAATATAATTTTTTAACATGATGATATTGTGATGAATGGTTAAGTACAACGGGTTGTGAAAGAAAAGTGAATTTAATGCAATATTATGAGTTTTTTTTTTAAGAAAAAGTTTGCTAATTAGTCATAAACTTACGGTTTAATGTGTAAAGTAAACTTTTAACCAAAAGGTTGAAAGGTGGTGAACGTTTGTTGCTAATATGCATTTTTCCAGGATGATGTCTGTATAGAGATTGATGAAAGACTTAAAACATTGTAAATTGATTGTTGTCCATGATGGATTAGAGAAGGAGAAAAATGTTGAAAATCAACTAAAATTTTTAAAAGCTAGAGAAGCCTAGGTGCCTAAGATAAAGGCTCTTAGTGGGAGGAAGAATGTGTGTGAGATTCCAAAGGTCATCAATGTTCTAACACAGCTTTTTTTCATCCCTTGGTTTTTGATGCTAGTGTTCTTTATTCTATTAACGTTTCCATTAAGATGAAAGATTATGCCGCTTTTTTTCACTGAGATATTGTGAGGTATGCCTTGAAATCATGTTAAAGCTTTTTGAAGTTGGCAGCAGATTATGAAACCAGTCATGAAGGTGCATAAATCTAGTATATACCAGAAAATTCATACCAGAAAATGCAGTTTTAAAAGCTCTCAAATATGCTTTAGTGGTGCAATGTGTTTTGGGTTTTCTCTTGAATTACCATATTATCCTTTTGTACTCTTATAAATATAAAGGAGCTTTTTTGAGGGTAAATGGGGTGAGAGTTAGTCAGTAACCACCATAAGAGGAAACAAGGTGGTTCTTTTAGGATCAGAGGGGTTTTCTCGGGTAGAGTGAACTTGGGTGTACTGGGGACTCTTATTGGAGTGTGGTTTGAGTGATTTAGGCTATTCAAATCTCTTGTAAATCATTGATTTCATAGTGGATTTCACGTTCTCTTTCTCCCGTGGATGTAGCTATCACAAATTGTGGTTGTGAACCACGTAAATTATTGTGTTTGTTGTTTTTCCACACTTTGTTTTCTTCATTTTTTTGCTGTGCATTTTAATTCAACTCACAATTGGTATTAGAGCTTTGGACAAACACATACTAGGTGTTTGATAAAATTCCTAAGTGAAGTTGTAGAGTTGTTTTGGGTTGTCTTGTATTTGGTCTCTCTTCTTGAATACACTATGACTAGCATCAAGCTCAAACTGGTGACATTTGATGGTACTGTTGATTTTGGATTATGGCGTGTTAAGGCCAAATCATTGTTGGTTCACCAAGGTGCAAGTTATGCACTTACAAGAGAATACCCAAAGTATTACGGGGAAAGAGAAAAGGTGAAAGTAAAAGATAAAGCATTTTCGACACTCCAATTAATTATTAGTGATGAGGTTTTATGTGGGGTAGTCAAGGAGACCACAACTAAGGATCTTTGGGAGGCTTTGGAGAGGAAGTACATGGGTAAATCACTCTATAACAAGCTTTATTGCAAGCAAAGGCTTTATTTACTCCGGATGCAAGAAGGCACTTCCATAACTTCTCATATTAATGCTTTTACCAAGGTAGTGCTTGATCTTGAGAATTGTGGTGTTGAGATTGATGATTAAACCCAAGCTATTCTTTTGTTGGCATCATTACCCCCATTGTTTGAGAGTTTCAGAGACTCCATGTGTTATGGCAGAGAGATAATTTCTTTATCTAATGTGAAGGAGGCCTTGAAAACTAACGAATTAAAGGCCAAGAATGAAGCCTCAACTAGTGAAAACAAGGATGAAGGCTTGGTTGTGAGAGGAAGAACTTTAGAAAAAGGGAATTGCCACTCAAAGTCTAGATCAAAGTCTAGAGGAAAGTCTAAGACCAATGTTTGTTATGGTTGTGGTGAAAAGGGTCACATTAAAATGAATTGTCCAAATGGAAGGTAAGATCAAAAACAAGAGCAAAAGAGCAACAATGAAAAGCAAGTTGAAGCTAGTGTAGTGGAGATTGATGATAGCTTTGTTGATGTTCTCTTGATGATTGAGGCATCAGTCAAACCAAGGCATGAGTGGATTTTGGATATTGCATGCTTTTTTCATATTTGTCCCATTAGAGAATGGTTTGCTACTTACAATGAAGTTAAGTGTGTTGATGTTTTAATGGGAGATGGTCACCCTTGCAAGGTGAATGGCATTGGTATGGTTCTAGTCAAGATGCATGATGGTGTTGTAAGAGAGTTAGCAGAGGTTAGGCATGTTTTGGAAACGTAGAAGAACTTGATCTCTTTGAGTGCCCTAGATACTAATTGGTACACTTTTTTTGGTGGAGGTGGAGCTATGAAAGTTGTTAAAGGTTCTCTTATGGTCATGAAGGGTTGAAAGTATAGGAAGCTTTATGTGTTGCAAGGCTCCACGGTTACGGGTTCAACTAATGTTGTTTCTTCATTATCGAATAAGGACCTGACCAAATTGTGGCATATGAGGCTAGGTCACATGAGTGAAAAAGGGATGACATTGTTGAGCAAGAGAAGTCTTCTTGGTGATCATAAAGTTTGTAGCTTGGACTTGTGTGAGCTTTGTTTGTATGGGAAGCAAATTATATAGGAGTTCATCAGTCCAAAGAACCTCTTGATTGTATCCATTCCAATCTTTGGGGTCTTTCTAAGAACATGTTCGTTGGTCGTGCCTTTTATATGCTTACTTTCATCGATGATCACTCAAGGAAGGTGTGGGTTTATTTCCCCAAGCATAAGAGTGAAGTTTTTCGCACTTTTAAGCAATGGAAGGTTCTGGTTGAGAATCATAAAGGTAAGAAAATCAATTTTTTGAGAACAGACAATGGACTTGAGTTTTGCAACCAAGAGTTCAATGAGTATTGTAAGAATGAAGGAATTGCTAGACATCGAACAGTTCCTGAAACTCCATTGCAAAATGGAATGGTAGAGTGCACGAATAGGACCATCATGGAAAGGGTTAGATGTATGTTATCTCACTCCAAACTTGCTCAAGAATTGTGAGCAGAAGTAGCTTTTACAGCAACTTATTTGGTGAATAGATCTCCATGTGCACCTATTGGTTTCAAGAGTCCAGAAAAGGTATACACTGGTTTTGTTCCTAATTATTTTGATTTACATATGTTTTGTGCACCTTGTTATATACATGTAAATGATGGGAAATTAGAACCTAGGTCCAAAAAATGTTTCTTCTTCGGTTATCCTTTAGGTGTTGAGGGATACAAGGTTTGGGACCTTGTGGCTTGCTATTAGAAAAAGCTTTATTTTGGATAAAGTATTTTAGACAAGAAAATATCTTGACCATATCTTGATCGAAAAAAGACTTAATTTGGTCAAGAATTTTGACTAAAATATACTTTAGTCCGATTAAAAGGTATTTAACATAATAATTCAGTCTAAAATTATTTTGGTCAAATATATTGATTGAAATAAAAGAGCGCCAATTGGCTTTATCGTTAATTTAGTCAAGTATTTTATCTGAATTATATTAATAATAAAATAGTAAACATTTCGGTCATAAAATTTGGCTAAATTAGTTAAGTAAATTTTGTTCTAATTTAGCTATATTTTTTGGTCAAAATTTTTGACCAAAATAATTGTCTCCTTTTTTTAAAAAAAAATTGTATTAGTATGATGCTTTCTTTTTTAAATTTTTTTTAATTTTCTATAAAACTATTTCAGTCAAGCATCTTGACCGAAATAATTGTCTCCTTTTTTAAAATTCTATTAGTATGATGCTTTCTTTAGTAAATTTTTTAAATTTTCTATGAAACTATTTCAGTCAAGAGACTTGATCGAAATAACTATCTTCCTTTTTTTTAAAAAAAAAAAAATTCTATAAAAAATTACTATGACGCTTTCTTTCCTAAATTTTTTTAATTTTCTATGATATTATTTCAGTCAAGCATGTTGACCAAAATAACTCACTCCTTTTTTTTTAATTGTATTAGTATTGCACTCTCTTTCTTAATTTTTTTTAAATTTTTTATAAAACTATTTCGGTCAAGCATCTTGATCGAAATAATTGTCTTCTTTTTTTAATTATATTACTATGATGCTTTTTTCCTAAATTTTTTAATTTTCTAGGAAACTATTTCGGTCAAGATTCTTGACCAAAATTATATTGTTTTGGCTCCAAGAATTAAGTGAAATTTTTTAAAAATTTCCACTAAAACTATTTCGGTCAAAATTCTTATCCGAAATTAATGTTTTGGCTCCACAAATCAAGTGAAACATTTTGAATTGTCCAACAACATTATTTCAGTAAAAGATTTTGACCGAAATAGTCTAAACACTTTAGGCACTTTAAATTGTATTTTACATATTTCCTTCTTCCTTCTTTCTGCTTTTCCGTTCATTCCGCCTTCCACACCCATATTTCTCATATTTCTCTTCCTTTTAATTACTTCCCCTCCTTATTTCTCTTCCTTCCATCCTTTTCTTTAATTTCTTCCTTTTTCTCATCTTCTCTTTTCTTCACTTTCCCTTTACTTTCATTCATTCCTCTCATCCTCTCTTCCATTTTCTCACATTCTTTTTTCCTCATATAGTCCTTCCTTTAGTTCCCTCTCCTTAAATTTCTCTCATTTTCTTTCTTCCTTTAATTTTAATCTTATTAGTTTATTTCTTTTACAATTTATAAGTTTGTTTCAATTAATATTGATATCAATTTTATTTTTTTCAAGATTTTATAATAGAAATTAAAGGCATTTTAAGGAGGCGTCTCATTTGGTAC